TTATGAGAATTTTTTGATAGGGAGCTTAATAAAGAAAGGGTGCAGTTGGCATACGAATGCATCCGTAGCTACAGAGGTAAAGTGCACCGTCAAATTTTATCATGGTATATAATTTTGATGCAAATGTTCTTAGGATTATCTCAAAATCTATTTTTATATCTAATTATAAAATTTTAAATTTAAAAATGGTTAAAATCAAGTAGATCTATAAACATATGAAAATCTTGAAAATGGATGGTGTAGATAATATATTGTAAAATGCACTATTTTTGAGACTTAAGATCTTTTTATTTTTCATGGTCATACATCTCGATGTCGAGATGATCAATCTAAGGGTTTTTCAACATTAAAACTACCTTTTCCTATGGATTTTTGCGGTGCATCCGTAGTTCTACATTATAAGGTTTCATTCTTATATAAACTTTTTCTATAAGTAAAATATCACCTCAAAATAGTTCAAAAACCCTCAAATGGACAATCCGGACTTGACCATTATTATTATGAAAGAAAATTAGGATTTAAAACTCTAAAAATAGTGTATATTGTAACACATCATCTAGACCGTCCATTTTACCCTAAAAAGAAGTGCTTACCGATCCCTAAGAACTGTACCATTTTTTTAGCTTCAATTTTCATATTCACTGTTGGAATTGATTTTAAAATTATGACAATTTCCAAAGTACTTATTGGACTCTACTTTGTTTTCATAAAGCCCCCCCTATAAAAAGTGCATCCTTTCTTTTTTCTCTTTTAAAAGGGATCAAATTTTTATAAGGTCTAGAGTTTATGAAAACAATATCGAGCCTCACTGCAAATCCTCTAGACAACACTTGTAGCAATAGAAACATGCCATAATGGCTCTAAAATCAATTTTCAATACAAACAATAAAATTTGAAAATAAAAAATATACATATTTTACGTACCTGTAGACACTTATTTTAAAGCGACCGGACAGTATAGATAATTTGTTACACTACACTATTTTCAGAGCTTGAAACCTTAATGTTTTAGCAACCGTAATTTTCAAGCCAAGATGATCGATGTAAAGGTTTTCGAGAATTGAAAATTTTGATCAAGTTATGAGATGAGGCTATTTTGATAGAGCAAACCATTTTCCATTAAAAATTAGTTATAGCATTAGTATGTGAAGGGCTAGTTGAGGGATACCCACTCACAAGAACTCTACATGCCATGACCAGAAGGGGTAATTTTGTGATCAGCTAAAATTTAATGACTATTTTGCATCTCTTTTTTGAGGCCACTGTTCCCTTACTCGTGACTGAAAATCACCAGCCTCATATTACTTAATTTATATGTCCTCTGCAACTCTCACACTTCACTTTTCATGCAAAATCTCCATCATCACCAATTTTTAGAGAGAGAAAGAGAAATAATTTTTAGAGAGAGAGAGAGATGACCACAAAGCCGAGCCCTGGTAATGACGAGCCATTTGTAGATATCCATGAACTCTACACTGAAGAAGTAAGAGATAAGGAAATGAAGCCAGATAAATATTGCAGGATCCATAAAGACAAAGGTCAGCATCATATAGGCAAGAACCATCATCATCATCACAATGGCGTCAAATTCACCAGGCAAGTCTCTCTAGAAACCGGATTCTCTGTGTTCGGTAACTGCACGAAGAAGGAAGAGAGGAGGAGTAAGCTTTTGACGAGAAGCGGGAACAGTTTTGGAGAGTTTCGGGGCGCTGCGAGAGTTACCGATGTGAGGAGAGGGGAATTCAACTTGTTTAGGACTAAAACCACACTCAGTAGGCAAAATTCTTTGCTTCCATTGAGAAAATTAGCGGAGCAAGATGTGCACCACCACCACCCACCGCTTCCACAGGCTGAAGAAGATGTTGATTTGGAAGTACCCGCCGGAAGGTACTTTGCGGCCCTGCAAGGGCCCGAGCTCGATGAAGTCAAGGTAATGAGAAGTTCTTTCATGGAGAGAGAGATAGACTCTTTAGGGCTCTGGGGAGCAAGAACCACTTTGAAATTGAGATCAAATGTTGGCAAATATTCCATCCATAAAATTCAGAGAAATACTATTAATGTAATTTAGGGACTGTTTGAATGACAAATTATATTATCAGTAGACTATCCTATCTAGAATTAATATACTCTAAGAAATATTATTTTGTTAGTTGTTTAATATATACCATTATAATATTTGGCAATTTTCATCAATTGTTAGCTATTTTTGGCTTAAAAAAGAACTGAATTTCAGTAAATTACTTCAGATAATTTTATGATAGACACTGCCAAATATTAACTAATTTATTATCAAAATTAATTTGATTGAAACAGATGATAAGTTTATTTAGCAGAAGAGTATATTATAATATTTTTATCGTGACAATAGCATGATACAAGATGCATGGGAGTCGTTTTTCCAATCAACTCCATCATACTCCACTATTGTTTAATGTTTACTCAATTGAATCTTATTCTTCCCTTTTTGATAATATATAATTTCTCGTCTTCTTAATTTTCCCATCATACTAATTATAAAAATGCATCCATAAAATTCCTCATCCCTAAATTCTTGTCCTCTCAATTTTTCATATCTAATTCACACCCCTTACTTATATTTATTTTAAAAAAAATCCAAATTTCAATTTTCATAATATTGGATATAGAAATAACTCCTTCAAGCTCTTATCAACTAAATTCTTGTCCTCTTAGCAACGTCTCAAGATTTTCCTTTTCTAGTTCTGAACTCTTGTATCAATGTGTGCATATTTGCACGACCAAAACGTTGATAAGAGGCGTCAACCATTTTGTCTTTTTGAATTAAGGCGCACCTCAAAAAGCCCACAAGTTGTTTCGATGCTGAAAAACCCTGCGATTGATCATCTCGAGTTTGAGATACAATTGAAAATTAGAATTTCAAAATTTAAAATTAATATATCTTGTAACACATTATTTTGATTGTTTAACTTCAATGTTTTTAAATGTTTATAGATATGTTTGACCCGCACCACTTAAATTTCATAATTAAAGTTGGAAATAGATTTCCATTTGGGTTTCTGGCACTGGAATTGCGTCTTCCGAACAAAGTTTAGAGGTTCCATCTCATCTGATGATCGAGAAGTTTTACAGGATTCGGAGGACATACTCCTTCCAAAAGATGAGCTGTGGCCTTTCCTCCTCCGCTTCCCGATCGGTTGCTTCGGTATCTGTCTCGGTCTCGGTAGCCAAGCCATCTTGTGGAACACCCTCTCCACCAGCCCCGCCACCCGCTTCCTCCACATCCCCCCTTACCCCTCGCTCGCCCTCTGGCTTCTCGCCCTCATGACCCTCATCGTCGTCTCCTTCGCTTACATTCTCAAGTCGGCCTTTTACCTCGAAGCTGTACGCCGAGAATACTACCACCCGGTCCGAGGAAACTTCTTCTTCGCCCCGTGGATTGCTTCCATGTTCTTGGCCATTGCTGCACCGCCCCTCCTCACGCACGGTCCCCCTCACCCCGCCCTATGGTGCGTACTGATGACCCCAGTGTTTTTGCTCGAGGTTAAGGTGTACGGGCAGTGGCTCAGCGGAGGGAAGAGGAGACTGTGTATGGTTGCAAACCCCTCGTCTCATCTCTCGGTGGTCGGAAACTTCGTCGGGGCAATATTGGCTGCTAAGGTTGGGTGGGAGGAGGCCGGAAAGTTCTTTTGGGCAGTTGGGTTTGCACACTATTTGGTTGTGTTTGTGACTTTGTATCAGAGGTTGCCCACAAGCCATGTTTTGCCAAAGGAGTTGCACCCTGTATACTCCATGTTTATAACTGCACCAGGTGCAGCGAGTGTAGCATGGGAGGCCATCTATGGTGAGTTTGATGGGATGGCAAGAACCTGCTTTTTTGTGGCTTTGTTCTTGTATCTCACACTCGTCGTTCGCATCAACTTTTTCAGGGGATTCAGGTATCTTCTTCATTTTCTACGCCTTTCTTATAATTTTATAAATTTACAGCCATTTATGTACGGACACCTTTCTTGTCCGTATATCGTCATCGTGTTATTTTATTCATAAATTACGGGAGCACCTGGATTTTGTTTTGTTTTTTTTTTTATATCTATCCGACAATAACAATACCGGATAGAAAAAACAAATATCTTTAGTTTGACTCCTCCATCTGAATTACCCAAAACAAATATTTCGTGAGTAAGGTCTATTTTTAAGGCAGTACCCCTAGGAAAATGATGTTATGTGTACTTCTTTAACTCCATGTTTTTACAAATCCTATTTGATTGGTCAAATTGAGGTGGCACATGAGAAACATATAAAAAATAAACGGTGAATGCAAGTACTTTTATATATATATATATATGCAGGGATGGTATAAAATGAGGTCATTTATCGTTAAAACAAAGAGATCAAAACTATGGAAAAGTATATAGTGAGACTATTTATTTGTGGTATACGGTAGTCACAATTAATCTTGACCATTAAATGAAAATTTAGTGGTTGCATTTATTTCATTGACCAAGGTCAAAGTCTAAAATAATTTGTTTCAAACTTTATGACATATCTAAACTATCAAATTTTACACCGGATGGTTGTAAGTAATCGTGAACTCCTTGTATCCAAGGTAAATGGTCTTATTGTAAACAATCCTCATAATTATTTATAAACATCTGATGTGAAATCTAGAAGCTTAGGTATTTCAAAAGATTTGAAAATATTTGTGTGGAACTTTGAATAAAATATAGCCACCTAATTTCATATCCAATGGTCAAGATCAATTGTGACCTTGTACCAACGATAAATGATCTCAATGTATACTTTTCCATATAATCACATAGATTTAAATGAGCTTGGATATTTTTTAATGATAGATTTAAATGAGCTTGGATATTTCTTTTTTTTGTCTACTTTTGAGCACATATAGCATGCTTCGGCATGATAATATTGTACATCTATTCCCTCGGGCAAAATACCCACTTAGGAGGATTTGCTCAATTTTCAAAAGAATTTAGAATAGCGAGTTGAGTATTTTAATAAAATAGAAAACTCGGTTTACTTTGGAAATTGTTTTTTTTTTCCAAGCACATGTCTAAGGTGTTGCTTTCTTTTTTGGGGTTTGTCGCTAGGCTAAGGTTATCCTGAAATTAGAAAAGATTATATGATCCTTGGGAGCATATACTCTCTTGGCTGTAGTTTTTTTTTTTAACCATATTGTATTGTAATAATAGTGAAAGGTAAAAGTTTATAAAGTGCACCTCAATAACGTACAGAAAATGGTTTTTTTGATATTAGAAAACCCTCCAGTTAATCATGTCATCTTTGAGACGTATGGACACAAAAAAAATAAAAAATTCCAAGTCCTAAAGATAGTGGATCTCATAACCATTATCTAGACTGTCCATTTTTTAAAATTTCAAATATTTCTAAATCTGCTCAATCTGCACAACATTTTTAGCTTTAAATTTTCATGACTAGGGTACAAATAGATTTTCAGACCATCATAGGCTTTCTAATACTAGATGTGTATTTTTCTACAAGTTTTCGAGGCAGGTCTTACCTAAGTTGTGCAAGTAAACCATTCCACATAAACGTTTATATAATGTTGAGACCCTAAACAATCAAATTAAGGCTACAAGAGGTTGTTTCAAGGTCGAAAAACCTACGAAATCAATCATCTTTGCCTGGAGATGTATAGAGGTGACAGAGAATGAATTTCAAGTATGGAATATAATGCATGTTATAATACATCATCTGGCTGTCAATTTTCAAAATTTTAAAGTGGTTATAGATTTGCTTGATGTATGCTATTTTTTAAACTTTAAATTTTATAATAAGTGATGAAAATAAATTTTTAGATCATCACAAAAAAAAATTTCTATTAAAAAATTATCACTTGATACTATTCAGAGGTACACCTTTGACTGTTTAGGGCCTCAACCTTATTAAAACCACACCCAAAGATAAATGGTTAAAAAGTAGAAAACAAATGTTCCAATGGGTTAAGATGGAAAGAAGTATCATTGGAATAAAAAGTTGGCTTTGTAACAGGCAAAGTGGGCTGACCTGCTGTTGAGGTTCCACAGGCTTATCGAAACTCTCACATGGATTTTTTGAAAAAGCATTTCCATAAAATTTCATTTTAAAAAAGTTATCCACCACTTCATAAATCATCAAGAACCTGGCTCCCTATAACATACCCCTTTGATATTTTTGTAAATAATGTATATAACTATGAGCATAGGAGTTCAGACTTCAAATACGCCTGGTCATGACCCATATGGCAGTTGAGGGCCCACCATTTAGATACGGATAGGGTTTAGGTGTGTCCAGGGACACACCTACTTGTGTCATAACTAGGGGTTGGCAATGGACTTGGACTCAACCCAGACCCGAGGGGTAGAGCCAATTTAAGTCTGGGGTCCAAATCCGAATTTGGTAATATTTTTTAAGTCTTAATACATGAAAAATATTTAAATATAGTTAACTATATAGATATTTTAATTTTTGGGTCAGGTCCGATTTAGGTCAGAGTCCCACATCATTTTTATTGGGTCCGGGATTGGACCAGACCCATTGCCACCCCTAGTCATTACCCACATGGTAGTCTCAGTATTTATCTTGGATATAGATTTTGAGTCTAAAACATCTATTATCTCAACCACCACAATTATGAATATAAAGAGAAAATGAGTTTTAAAACATCTATTATCTATTATGGATATAGAATTTGAGTCTAAAACATCTATTATCTCAACCATATAAAGAAAAAATGAGTTTTAAAAATGGGAAAAGTTTATATAGAGCTGAAGCTCTAAACAATCAAATTAGAGCCAATCTCAAAAATTTCACTAGAATATGTTGTTTTGATTCCCAAATATCCTCAAATTGATCATCTCGACATCATGATGCATGGACATAAGAAAAAAATGGATTTCAATTTTTGGAAATAGTGTATTTTGTAATGTATTTTTTGACCGTCAATTTTCAAGTTTTCATAGATCTGTCGATCTACACTAATTTGAAGCTTTAAAATTTATAAATAAAGACGAAAATATATTTTAAGGATATCACAGAGATTTCCAATATTAAAACCACATTGCTCGACACTATTTGAAGGTAGGCTCTAATTTGATTGTTTAGAGCCTAGGCTCCATACAAACCGCACCCTTTAAAAATTTTAAATTGATTTGTTTTATAATTTTCAGATCATTCATTTTGTTTTTTAAAGATCATTTGGATCTGCGTTGTAATTATAGCACCCAATTCACAAATACAAGGCAGAAATGGAGTTGCAGCAATTTGGAAATTGGAATATGCTTCGGGTCCCGAATCCCTTGAAAATAGGCTCTGAATCCTATAAATTAGGTAGAAGCATGAACCGGCCTACTGACCAAAAACTCTTACAAGTGGCTACAAATTTGATGTTCATTGATGGTCCAAACGTATCCAAACTCCAACAATGATCTCTTACGATTTTATTTTTTTTGGCATTACCTGGTAGTGCCCTATTCCTTCTTATGATGTTTTGTTTTGTAGGGATTTTCATGTCAAAATCTTTTTTATTTAATTACCCTTTCATCCAATGATAGTTTACAGCGGTCAATTTTCTATGTGTATTGCCCAAATTACGCAGAAAACAATAAAATTTAAAGTTCTTCAAACAAATCGCAAGTATTGGCATTTTCATATAGGAGAGGAAGATGTGGGCTGCTTTTTCATATTACATAAAAGAATTTGTCAATGGGTTAAGAATATCACCAAAATAGGTCTTACCTAATTTTCGCCAAGAGTCCAAAAATTTCAGCAATTTCTTTTCCCTTTTGAATGCATGAAATTACATACTTATTTTTATCACTACCATTCAAACCAACCAAGATTCAAGTAGTCCCGACTTTTTTTTTTCCCTCTTTCCATTAATAAACAAGGACCAAAACCAACAACCAAGAAGCCAGCTCCACCACAACAACCATCAACCCCTCAGAAGAGTACAAATAAAAGGGATCGCATAAAATGAGTCCTTTTATCTCAGGTACAAAGAGGTCACAACTACATACAACCATCCGATGTGAAATCTGATAGCTTGGGTGTCACAAACTAAGAGAAAATTTCTTTTGAATTTTGTGCTTGGTCAATAAAATAAATGCAGCCACCAATTTCGCATCCAATGGTCAAGACTAATTGTGACCACCTTATACCAAAAGTAAATAGTCTCTTTATATACTTTCTCTAAATATAATCCAATAGGAACTCATAACACTCCAAATCGACATGTTTGCAGATTTTCGGTCGCATGGTGGTCTTATACATTCCCTATGACAACAGCATCAGTGGCCACAATCAAGTATGCAGAGCAAGAGCCATGCGTGCTCAGCCAAGGGCTTGCAGTCGCACTCTCGGCTCTATCAACAGCAATGGTTTCGGTCCTTTTAGTGTCCACACTACTCCATGCCTTCATATGGGGCTCATTGTTCCCAAATGACTATGCCATTGCAATAACAAGACACAAGGTTGGAGTTAAGGGCAAAGCCAAGACCATCCGGAAGGCGGCCAATGGCATCAAACGATGGACAAGGAGCTCATCCTTGGCCCTGGTTTCTTCCGTGGCCAAGAACCCATTTGAAAAAGATGCAAGTGGAGGAAAGGTCTGAGTCTCTCGCTATGGTAGAAAGGAAATGGCAACATTGGAATAAGATAGGCCATAGGAAGGATCCCATGAATATAGTTGAATAAATCGATGTTTCAAATATATATATATATATATATATATATATATATATATATA